TGTAACACACCATATCAACAGAGAAAGAAGCAAAAATCACATGATCATCTCAGTGCAGTAAAAGATTTTGATAAAGTTAAACACTCAATCATGTAACCCACTACTATTATGGACTATTGGACTATATTGGGTTATTTTGCTGAATTTTGTTTCTCATTAAAATTAATTTTAAAAGAAGAAAAAATATGAAATTTCATTAAACAAAGTAATACGAACTCAACAATTGTTACTGTTAAATCTTAAAAATTTTGATCTTGAACAATTTTGGATCTTAGCACATAGCACACCAACAGTATCAAATGTGAAAAATTAGTTATTTCATAATAATAGCTTTTAATATGTTTATTAAAATATGTGTTTTTCATAATAATATTTTAATGTGTTTAAAAATATTCATAAGCTTAAGCACCCCACAGGCCAATGCTAGTGTGAAGTCTTGCAGGTATGACAGTGAAATATTTAAGGTTTATTGGAAGGAGCACAAAATTTGAAATCCAAAACACAGACGGTTCTCTTTACTTCATTTTCCACTTTATGCTTTGAAAATATTATTATTAACTGTATAGAAGTGCTAGTAAAACCACCGAGATAATGGACTACATACAAAAGCTCTTTATGAAATACAAAGCCCAATACAAGTTTAGGCAGTGTTAGGTGCTGTTATGACCATTATTATGATTGGTCACAAAGTACATATGTACAAAATAGTAATGACACAATGGAAATTCATCCTATTACAAAAATATATCCAAGAAGAATGATTTTTATTTTAAAAAAGTGGCTATTACCATTCCCAGAACACAAACAATGATACTTGACCTTCTATAACTCACAGTGACACAACAGAGCCAGAGCCCTGGATGATGTCCACATGTGTCTGTCATGTACATCAATTCATACTTCAGGCAAGAACACAATGTGTGACTGAGAGTAGACTCCTGAAAATAGATTATTCACACTGTTGATGAGAAGTGGGAAAATGTCCTGTAGATTCCAGATACCCTAGAGTGGGACCAAAGGGAGTGTGTTCAAGGCTAAGAAAATGCATAGAATAAGGGAAAGAATTCAAAGGAAAGAAAGGCAAGGTTGTCATATTGCATGAGTAACCTGAAGTCAAGGAAAAAGCTCCAGACAAGAAGTCAGAAAGTAGTATTGGCTCTAGCACAGCCACAAGATCTCTGCAATCCTGGGCAAGCCACTGCCCATTTCTGGGCCTTAGTTTCTTTACGATATAAAAACGAGTTGTAAGTTAGCACAGCTAATCAATCATTTTAAAAATATTCATTGTTTTGATGTCTACTATGAGTGAGGTAATGTTTAGTCATCCAGGATATAGCAAAGAGCAAAAGCAGTCTCTGTTACCAGGAATTCGACATCCCAGATGATCTCCCTCCAGTCTCAAAGCCTGGCACATAAAACTCTGCCTTCAGCTATGGAGAGACCAGAGTGGACAGTCAGCGTAGCTAAACAACCAAGGAGCAGAAGGATGAACTCTTAAGAAGTGTGGCTGTTTTTGTTTTTTTTTTTTGTTTTGTTTTGTTTTTTCAGTTCTGGGGATTAAACCCAGGATTACACCTTCAGCCCCTTTATTGTTTTTATTTTGAGAAGGATCTTGTTCTTGCTGGACTAGAACTTATAATCCTCCTGTCTCAGGTTTGCAGAGGGCTGGGATTACAGGCAAGTACCACCACACTCAGCCGCAGCGTTCTTTCTGAGAGCAGAGGCAAGGGCCTCTCCATTTTGCCTCAGTCCAAGTCCTGGGCATTGGAGCTCAATGTCAAGAGTGGCAGCAAAATGACTTTTATCCTGAAGTAAATCTAGGACTCAAAGATACTTCAAGAATATAAAGATGCTTCACTCTTCATTTATATAAGTAGGTCCACTACCGTGAAGTGACAAATCTATTTGACAGATTTTTTTAAAAAGCTTATATAAAATTACTGTTACAGATGAAATCTCATAAAAATTAATTATTATTATATTGTTCCTTTTTTCTATAATAGGAAAGCACAACATATATCTTCAAAAAATATAAGCCCCTGCCTTTATTTCTGTAACATATTAAAATTTACTTTGTATTGCATAAAGAAAATTTTAGTTTTATTCTGTATTTCTTGTTGCCCATTCACTGAATAGGTGTCAAGAAAAAAATATTAAGTGAAATAAATTACACACATGGGTATAATTATCACATTGCTTCCCTGGTATGAGAAACTTAAAGAGTAAATAAGGATCAAAATGTATAATAGATATTTTGAAATAAGAAGAAACAGTTCAAAAGGAAAGATAATGTAGGGAGGGAAAAGGGAGAAAGGAAGAAAGGGAAAAGAAAAAATAATAAAAGGAGGATAAAATGGAAACAAAGTTTCATAAATAAGGAAGGGAAGAGAGGTTGAAGAGAGGAGAAGGGATTGAGAAAAAAAAAGAATCAAGATCTATCATGTACAGGTACAAACTCCTTATGATGAATATAGTCATTATGTATATCAAAATTGTACCAAAAGTCTTAAAAGACATGAAAGTCAATTCCCTGACAGAGAGCTGCCAGAAGACTATCTCTAAGGAGCATCTTGGCCACATCTCTCCCTTCAGATCATAGCCCTCAGGATCTCCAAGCACACACTGTCTTCCACAGGATTCTCTGACAAGTCTGCTTCACCATAGGAATCCCCATAATCAGTATAACAGAATGAAGAGATGGGTAGGCAGCCATGAATGTTTCACAGATGAGGACCCTGGTGAGATCAGCAGGAGAATATTGGGACATGAGGGAGAAGTGGGTGGCTACAATATAAACCAAGTACAGTACAAGGGAGCTGCCCAAGGACCTCAGGGCAGTAATGTGAGCCTGTGCTCGGGCATCTCTCCTACCAGCTTTATGGACATTCATCTTCCTGTGGTGCCTGTACAAAGAGACAATCAGCGCCCCGGAGGAAGCAAGAAACATCATGAAAGGAAACCAACTTCCTGCTACAAGCTGAAATACTAAACGAGTGTGCCAGCTTGAAAAGAGGTGTGGAATGTTGTCGTTTCCATGGGTAAAACTGTAGGGCTTTAAGCCACTGTTGACTGTAAGTATCAAATTGATGAGAAAATGTCCCAGAAGACACCAGAAACTAAAGCTATAGGCCCTCTGCTTCAGCCACAAGTAGGCAGGGTGAGCGAAGGTCGTGATCTTCTTACAGTAAAGGACACTAAGGAAAGTAGCAAACCACAGGCTAGACTGGCTTACCAATACCCAAAAAATATTGAGATAGCGAAGCCAATGGTTGTTCTGGAAAAATGGAAGCAGGATTATGTCCAGCATCATGATCCACTGCAAAAGAAACCGGCAGCCCGCAGCCCCAAGACAATGAGGTTATATGAGAATCCCTTGACTTTTTTGATCCATTCTCTGAAACTCCATACCATAAGGGCCCCATTTCCAACCAGGCCAATGAGAAATTCAGCTACTGCGACTGGCACCAGCAGTCCTAGAGCAACAAGGAACATAGCTGGGAAACAAAGGCACTCACTTTTGTCTCAGGCAATGTCCTGATTCTGTGCTGTTGAATATGTATGGCTCCTGGCTTAGGTCAAACCCCTGATATGAAACCACAGTCAGGATCATTTCCATGCCACAGCATATGGATTTGGGCTTCTCCTTCTGTAACGTATCCTCAAGCAAAAAATGAAAAGCTATGACCAGAAATAGAAAAGTTAGGTGTTATGATGATCTCTTCTGTATTTGTATCTATATAAATGAACCCTAAGACTAGTTCAGAAATTGGAAAGCGTATCAAAGATACTGAGTCTCCATTTCAAAGGTAATGGACTAAAGTCTAGACACATGCAGATAATATAATAAGGACTATCAAACAGGAGGATCAAATCAAAATCAGGTTCTACAGAGTACCAAATATGAGGTCATGTTCTATAACTTATTTTCATAAAACACTGAATATATAAGCATTAAAATTAAGCAACCTTAAATTGAAAATCAGATTTCATTATCAATGGGAGAAATGGGGAAAGTTAAGGGGAAGGAAACATTCAGAAGCCAGAAACATATTTAAATACCAAACAATAAAAAGAAAGGTCAAGGAGAGAGGCCACTATAATTAACCATGATCTGTGAAGCTATCTGCTCCTTACAGCCAATTAGTCACATATACTTGCCTTAACATGTATCTCATACATATTTTAGAAAAAGGATATAAGCTCAAATAATTGAAAATAGATGAGTATAGTTATTAGGAAATGCCATAAATATGATTCATTTATTGTTTCTCAGACTTCAGCTTGCTTAGATTGCAATACAATATAGACATGTTTGTAGTAAACTGAATATAGTTCCTAAAGATTCTCATGTCCTTGTATACATACCATCAATAGTCATAAGTAGGGCTTATGTTGGACATAAGTAGGACCATGAATCAAATGAGTTGTTGCCAATGTAATCAGGCAGAGGTAAAGGATTTTCCTAGATTAAGGTCTCAGATCAGTCAATTTTGAGTTAATCATATGGAAAACTAGCCCAGGTGGCCCTGAGTTAATAAGCTGAAAGCTTTGAAAGAGGGACGTGGCCTTTCCTAAGGTGACAGATCCTCCTACTGGCCTTGAAGAACCCAGCTCCCATGCTGTGAGAAGGAGTAAATTTTAGGAGGATCCAGACACTGATAGTGGCCACCTGTTGACAGTAGCAAGTATGGAGACCTCAGTCCTACACTTGCAAGGAACTGAATTATGCCAGCAACCATAGAAAAGGATTCCAAACCCCAAAAAGAATGAAGCCCAGCCAACATTTTGATTGCAGCTTATGACACTTTGAACTGAAAACTCAGTTAATTTATGCCCAAACTCGTCCATCGAAACAGTGATATAGTAAACATAGATCCTATTGAGCTACTATGTTTGTGATGCTACACAGTAAATAAAAAACTAGTACAAAGGGTTGGCAACACAGCTCAGTGGATTAAGCACCTGCTTTGTGGCAAGCACAGGGACCAGGGTTCAATCCCCGGTCCCACATGCTATGCCTGACCTGCCCCCGGGACACACTGAGCCAGTGACAGAGCCTGGGCATGGTGGCACATGCCTGTAATCCCAGCTCTGGGGAGGCTGAAAACAGGAGGATTACCACGAGTCTGATCTGGGTAGTGAGACCCTGTACCAAATACACAAAATGAAAGAAAAGAAAAGCAAAGAAAAGAAAAAACTAGTACAGAAGTTAAACCAAGCTGGAAATTACTAGGAAAAAAAAATGTGAAGAAAGAATAATTAGATTAGAAAACAATAGGAAGGCCAGGCTAGTTTCTGAGGAAGGCAACATACCTGTAGAAGAGAGTTGCACCAGGAACCAAGAGCCTTGAACTTTGGTCCCAGCATCTCCTGACCCTCCAGGAAGCCATGGGAAGGTCACTGCCTCTCCGCCTCAGTCACTCTAAATTATAAGATTGCTAAATTACATTTCCATTACTTCATAAAAGATTTACAGAATCTTTTCTGTAAATGCATGCCAGGCACAAGGAACACAGCAGAGAGAGAGAGAGAGAGAGAGAGAGAGAGAGAGAGAGAGAGGAAGGAGGAAGAGGAGGAGAGGAGAAGGAGGAGAAAGAGAAGAAGGAGAAAGAGGAGAAGGAGAAAGAAAGGAAGAAG